ACACAGATTCAGGGTATTCCAAATTCCACGTTCCTGTGTGGTAACAGTTACATTATGTTTTTATAGTAACGGAACAAAGAAAAGTCATAAATCAAGACAATTTTCAAATACATTGATGGATACATTTAGTAGGCAGCTCATGGCAAAGTGAGGGTGTTTCTACTATAGGTCTCAGATGCTATCTGATGACAGTCTTAGCTTTTTGGTTGGTGAGAGCTGGTGGTTTGCTAAATTAATACATTTTATTAGTCACGAGAATGTTAATTCAGAAAGAGAGGTAGGCAATATTTGGCTTTTTATGGGGTAAAGACATCCCCAGATAATCTGTGAATAGGCTCTGGATTTGCAACATTCCAGACTCTCCACAACCTCCAGAGTGCTAATCAGTTGGTGAGCCTTGCAGGAAGTTCAGTCCAAGGTGCAAGAGTTCTTTTGGGAGCTTTTTTTCACAGTTTCCCCTGTGTATGCAGGGACGACATATTATTTATTCCCTGGTCATCTTAGGAAGGCTCATTCCTAGAATCTGATGTAGATGAGCCTCAGTTGCAGGAAGGATAGCAGTCTTCAGGAGAGCAAAATAGCTGGCTGGTAGAGCCAATAGGAAAAGAAACTCCTGGATCATTTCAAAACTATTAGCAGGCATGACCCGGATCTTACTTTACTTTTGTCCTCTGTATCTGACATAACATTTGTATGTGACATATAGTAGGATGACTACACTTAAACTAATAAAAGACATTGCTTGGCCTAATAGAGTAAATGTAATAGATTAAGGCAACAAACATTAAAATAAAATGAGACTATGTTTCCCCCCGTATTTACAGTTATCTGTACTCTATGAACTATTTTATTTATATTTGGAATATTTAAACAAATCTTTGTTTTCTAATGTTCGGTTTTTCTTTGGATAAGTTATACCTCATAGCTGTAACCTCAAGGAGTGGCCAGTTCTAACTCTAGTAGTTCTTATCTGTGGATAATGACTTTATCTGTTTTATTATATTGGCATCATAACAGATTTAGTTTGAAAAAATAAATGAAACATATTATAGAGGAAATTACACAATACAGTATTCTTTAAACATTTTTCTAACAAGAATGTTTTCATTTACATAACAAATATTAATAACATTAATAGAAACAAGAGATCAAACCTGTTAGGAAATCGGAATCCTATAGGCCTTAAAGGCTTAAACAACTTTTTTTTAAATTTAAAAGAAACTTTGAGAATTTCATACATGCATATAGGGTGTATTAGTTACTTTTCTGTTGCTGTGATAGAAACACTGACCAAAGCAACTTATAGAAGGAAGAATTTATTTGAGCTTACAGTTCCAGGGGAATTACAGTCCATCATGGCAGGGAGGCATGGTGGCTGGAGGTGGCTGGAGCAGGAGCAGCAGAAGCTAAGCTCTCATATCATCACATAGGCACAGGAAGCAAGAGAACAACTGGAAATCTGGCAAGGCTTAAGAATTCTCTAAGCCCATCCCCAGTGATGTGCTTCCTCCAGGATAGCCACACCTTCTAAAACCTCCCAAAACAGCGCCATCATCTGGGGACAAAATGTCCAAATACTTGGACCTTATGGGGGACATTTTCATTCAAACCATCACATAAGGTATTTTGATCAAATCCATGCTGACTCTCTCCCCTCTAACACCTCCCATATTTATTGCCCCATCACTTTTTTTCTGACAACTTCATGTATTCTTTCCTTCCTTTTTCCTTCCTTCCCTCCTCCCTTCCTTCCTCTTTCTCTCTTTCTCACCTTCCTTCCTTCTTTTTTTTTTAAATAGGGCTTTTTGATACTCTAACATTACCCCTCTGAAGAGGTAACCCTAAAATCGTTTAAGAATTTAGATAAGAGCTCCCAAATACTTTTGTCATTTTTGACCTTTGGAATAAAATATGCTGCTAAGAGGCCCAAGGACATTTTGACTTTTAGCCAAGAAACTGGCTACTTTTCTTTAGGGTTTGTTTACCCTAACTGCCTAGCCAATTCCTACCTCCTATTCTTATCATACCATCCTCTGAAGAGATTACCCAAATTGCTGATAGGGAATTGGGTAGCAGACCGCTCTGGCTTCTTCCATGCTGAACAGGGACACAGGGTGAGGCAACTAGGGTACCCCTTCAGTGGGTCTGTCTAAAAGACTCCCAAATTGATAACTCTTATCTGTAGGGAGAAAAGAAAGTCCTTGACTGGTGAATAGGGGCTGTGAAGGAGAAGTAAAGGCAAGAGTAGTTAGCATTACAAGTTCTAGACAGAGAACTAGAAAAAAGTCAGAACAGGGCTAATTTCAAATGTTCATATCAGAGTCCATTGGCATTTGTTGACAAGAGCTTCCACAAGCATCCCTCTATTGGGTTCCTCCTCATTTTTATTTGCCTGCCAAGGCTGGACTCTAGAGTGATGGATTCAAGATTTGTTTTCAGGTATTTTGATAACTGTTAGAGTGGTTAGAATCAGTGTGAGTTCCCTCTCAAAGGCTTTTAGATGGGGGAGAAAACAAATTTAAAAATAGGGGGAGAAAACAAATTTAACCATCATTTTAACACAATAGTGG